GCCCGCCGGGCGGGCTCGGCGTTGGCGTCTGGAAACTAATGGGGCCGTTCGTCGGAGGCTCCTGCCTGCTGTGTTAACGTGTTATCTAAACATGAGGTTTTGTTTAAAAAATGTCTGGTAGGGTTGCTTATTTCTTAAAAAGAAATGCAGTAAATTGGAAAAATAAAACTGATGGAAAACGGGTCTGGCCCTTTAGATAGGCCTCACCTGGGCATGAGATCAGCCGCAGTTAAACTGTTGGGCCCGTCGTTGGGTTTGGGTTCCTTTTTTCTCCTTTCTTAGGCAGTTTATGTAAAAACTGCTTTGGGAATGCCATTCCTTTACATACAGGAAAGCTCTCGGGTAGTTTAGTCTCTAAATCTCTACTTAGACTCCAGGTTTTGCTTGAAATTGGGTTTGCGAAAGTTGACGGGTATTTAAAAGTGGGTGTATGCACGCTGCTTGTTTGGGATATAAATGGGGTGTGCTCGGGTGTTGCAACCTGAAACATTAAGGGTGTTGGTTTGAAAAACAAGTACAGCACTGTCCCTCTGACTTTGAGCACTCTGTCTAAACAGTCAAAATCTTAGCAGAAATGAGTAACAAACAGCTATGTTTTAAATAATAAATGAGATATTGAAATTTCTCATTAAAATTGTCTGAGTTGCTCGGCTACATTTATTTGGTAATACCTGCGTGATGGGAGACATTAATCATGAAAACGCTGCCTTTTTCCTCTTTTCCCCAAAAAGCCGACCGTGTCTTTTAGTTAGAAAAAGACTAAGAATGTGGTTTAGTAGTACACCGTTTTGCTAATTGGCGAGAAGATCAGGAAGAGGAGGTTTGCATTCCCCACCCTAGCTGTCATTTTGGGAGCGCTTCGTGCTTACGTCCCCCCACCCCGGCACCGGTGCAGCAGGTGGGAACGGCAGCGGAGGAGCTTCTCTGTCATGTTTCTCACGACATGATGGCAGCGAAACTTTGCTTGGCACGAGCTGAACCAGAGAAGTTTTCTGTCAGAGTGGCTGCTTGCCTGCAAGGGAGTTGGCTAGTGGAACGATCCCACCAGAGAATAATTTAGCAACAGTGGCAAAATTTTCAGCCGGGCGTTAGGCGGGAGCTTCCAGCCAGCCTGCTGACTTCATGAGGCTGTTGTCCAAGGGCAGACGTACAGTGTTAGCCTCTGGGCTGGGAGGGGTTCCAGACGGGCTTGGCAATCAAGATAACGAGACGGGATGGCAGAGGCACCTTGGCATAGCAGTAGCCATGCGGCAGTGCTGTGGGTTGGAAGGAGATGTGAAATCATACCTCAGTACTCAATAGCCTTAAAGGTCTGCTCCAACTCTATGATTCTGTTCATGGCTTGATCAAGAGATAGCTCTAGGGGGAAGGGCAAGTGTAGGAGCTGAAATAAATGGCTCCAGTCATCTGTAAAGCGAATGTGGATTGTAGTACGTGAAGCAGTGAGACTGCGGACAGTGCTATGATACCCAATATATGGCGACAGGGAAGATGACAGCTGACTTTGGGCTGTGCTGTCTGTAAGAAGCAACAACCAAAGAAAGGTTGAGAGGAACAGTAAGTATATTACTGAGCGAGGGGAGAAATACTATGAGATCTTAGCACCCAGGCAACTCAGAATTAAATTTATATCTATAAAACAGTAATAATAAAGAGTACTATGAAAATGCACAGTTGAAATCCAAACAATCAACGGTGTCATGTAATAACCATTTACTGTAAGTATATGGTACGTATTGTGTTTCAGTTAAACAGATTTTTAGTGCACAGTTCTTTCCAAAGTAGTATCTGCAGTGTTGTTAGGTGTTTAACATAATTTGGAAATACGTTATCAAACTTAATTTAAACAATACGATTTCTTAGGCCTAGTTTGTCTCTACACCAATTACTTAAGCTGGTTTTACACTGGGTGTCAGTCTAAAAAGTAAGCTAAAGCTTATGGACAGATTAGTCAGTTCGCTTTTTATTTTGTTATTCATTGGTTTAAAAAGTGGGAGTCTAAAAATCAAGAGAGAAGAAAGTCTAAGCTCTCAGTTTCAGTCAAGGTGTCCTTTCATATTTCTCCCAGCATTATAAGTGAAAGCAGTGAGCGATAACCTAGCGCTGCATGTTCTTGGCACACTGGCTGCTCTCTGATACCATTAACTCATCAGAAGTCTCTGCAAGATGGGCAATTAGGTAATTACTGCAAAAATTACAGAGGCTACATTTGAGTCTCCTTACTTGTTGAGGACTCTTCCCCTAACCTGTATAATCATAATCTTAGATCAACTTTTCATTAATAACTTTAAAACCAAAAATTATACATAAGTATAAATACTACACAGGATTTCTGTAAGTTTTAAGTAAGGGAATTTGGACAGCTGGTTGTTCTGGGACTGTGTGATTTGTGACACTTAAGAAAATCGGAGACAAAAAAATATTGATACTGATTTTCTTATTTCTGTATTTTCTTGTGATCAATCTGTTGTTTTCTGCCTTACTTTCTCTGGAGCTATAGGATCTGTTTTATTTGTTAGTGACTCCTGAGTTAGAGTTTCTAGGCACAAAAGGATCAAAAATCAGAAGTACATTTGGTTCTCTACTTGCAGTTTCACAGAAAGCTGCTTCTCTGAGTAATTATTGTCAATTTGTCACGACACATTTTGTGTAGAGAGAATGGTTGTGACTTCAAAGTAAAAACCTTTTTTACGTTTAACTAGAGAGCTCTTAACTATGCCTCTGACAACTTTGTAGAAACGTATATAAATACAGTGAAATTGAGATTTTAATGGAAATAGAATTTCCTCAATAACTTTTTTCCTAATTGTAGCAATTAGTAGTATCATTTATGTGTAAAGTCTGTAAGATTAAACACCAATAGGATTACAGTGGTCCTCACGTGTCAAGACTGAGTTCAGACCAGGAAGAAGCTTATCCCGTAAAATAGTAAAGATCTCCAGGGAAATCTGCCTAGCCACGTTTTTGTACAAATTTCCCCTAAAAATACCGCTCTCTGTTCCTATACTATATTAAAAAGAAAAGCATGTCGGTTAAATGGATGTGGGTAGGACGTGCCTACATTCTAAATATAATATTTATCTCAGTCATTTTGTTGGGGTTTTTTTTGTGGGGGGAAGAAGTGGCTGAGAGGGGTTATAATGAAGGCTTTATTTCTATATTAAGAAAAATCTCTGAAAATGTTGCCAGATCAGTTGATACATCTGTGTGTCCACTCCCCATCTGTGAAATGGAGATAATGATAATATCCTTTTTCATTATCTACTGCCAGTTAAGCTCGTTAACAGATTATGAAGTTCTTTTTGTAAATCCTGTACCTATTTGACTACTAAAAAGAAGTCTTGCAAAGCATACGGAAAAGGTTTACTATGAAGTGAGAACTTACCAGATGTAACAATGAAGCAAAACAGTGTTTTAAAACAATATTAAACTATTATAGAAAGTAATGGATATCATAGGAATATTTTAGATACCCGTAGATAGCTAATATAGATACCTAGTGGATGGGTTTTGTGGATAAACAGCACAATCCAGGTTTGGTTTACCATTTCCTCTTATTCAAATTATGAAATAAGATTTATTGAGATCCCAGTTTATATTGGCTTTAATAAGGACTCCAATTTGAATGATCTTTAACAACACACTTGATTGGTCTTTGTTATGTGTTTTTTAATTTAGATGTTAAACTCCTTGGTGGGAGGGAATGTGTCATTTTATGCTGTATATCATGTCAAGGAATTATTTGCCACTAAAACTTTTTGAATTCTTCTTCCAGGACTTCAGTGATTCTAGACCGCTGTTACTGAAATGATATTAACAGAAGGCGGCGATTGCATTGTGTTTGTTGGATGAAACCCACATATTTACTACCAGTGGAGTGGGTGAAACCCCCTAACTGCAGTTTACATGTGTAGGTCACTGCGTTACTGTGTTAGTCATTGCCTCTATGCAGCAATGACAAGGCTAGAAGAAGTGAACAGAGAAGTGAACATGCACTCATCAGTCAGATACCTTGGCTATCTTGCCAGAATCAACCTGCTGGTTGCCATTTGCATGGGCCTTTATGTCAGATGGGAAAAAACTGCGGATGCACTGATTTTGGTAATATTTATTCTGGGGCTTTTTGTTCTTGGAATTGCCAGCATACTGTACTACTATTTTTCAATGGAAACAGCAAGTCTGAGTCTCTCCAATCTTTGGTTTGGTTTTTTGCTTGGCCTTCTCTGTTTTCTTAATAATTCTGCCTTCAAAACAGATGTGAAAGAAGAAGCTACTAAGTATTTGCTCCTTTCTGCCATTGTTTTAAGGATATTGTGTGCTTTGGTTGAGAGGATTTGTGGTTGTATCCATCATCGACCGACTCTGCTGACAACAGTTGAATTTTTGGAACTAGTTGGGTTTGCAATTGCCAGCACAACTATGCTGGTAGAAAAATCTGTGAGTATTATTCTGTTGGTCATGGCTTTGGCCATGTTGATTATTGACTTACGTATGAAGTCTTTTTTGGCAATTCCAAATTTGGCAATTTTTGGAGCCATTGCTTCCTTACTCTTTTTTCCATCGCTGCAAATCCCCACAAACCCATTTGCCTTGGCGTGTTTCTTCAGCTGCCTGATTTCAGATCCCCTTCTCGACGTTTACTTCAGTGGACTTTCAGTTACTGAACGATGGAAGCCCTACTTGTACCGTGGTAAAATTTGCCGAAGGCTTTCTGTCATCTCAGTTGGAGCCGTTGAACTAATCTTTTTCATTCTTGCAGCCTTTAAACTACGTGATTTGGATCTCTGGTATTTTGTGATACCTGGTTTTTCTATTTTTGGAATTTTCTGGATGATCTGTCATGTGATTTTTTTTATAACACTTTGGGGATTTCACACGAAACTAAATGACTGTCACAAGGTATACTATACCCACCGTGCAGAAAACAACAGCCTTGACAGAGTGATGGCATCTAAAGGAATGCGTCACTTCTGTTTGATTTCGGAACAGCTAGTATTTTTCAGCCTTGTTGCGACTGCTGTTTTGGGGACCGTTTCTTGGCAGGTAAATAACAGTGTCTTTATCTTAATTTCCCTCTTGAGAATGCTTGTGAGATTTGTTGGCTTCTTAAAATTCCTGTGACATTTGATAGTGTGCTGTCTCTCAGCAATTCAGGGTTTCCAATCTTTGGTTTCACCACCATGCTCTTCGAATTTAACACTTTGTGCTGCCTTGACTGCAGCCTTTTAAGGCAACTGGAGCATACCAGGATCTTTATATGGGCAGAATGGGAAGAATTAATGTTTCCAGGGCAAAAGAAGTGTGGACAGTATTTGAAGTTTACATACTTGCAAAATCATTTTGCTGTTGTATTCACTGTGCCATAAAATTTGTTTTCAAAGTAAATCAGTGTTGAACCCTAGTAATGCTCACTATGTTGAGAGCTTTTCTTATGGACTGTTTTAATTGAATCAAGGCAAATTCGTGTTTTAAGGATGTATTTTTCAATAGTTTGGCTTTGCATTTAACCATTAATGTGGAGTTAGAGCTCAGCTGATAAACTGGTAAATTGTTGATATAGCATGTGCTCCAAGTGTCTTATGTTCAAATCTTGTTATGCACCACAGGATATGTCCTCTGAAAGACTGGTTCTTAAAATCACACAACGTTATTTGACTTTTCATTCCATTTCTGAATTAAGGACATTGTCTTTTGTTTAGCAGAAAACATACCTTTCTCTCAACATGCTCGTTCGGTGCCCAAGTTAAAGTACATTGTGTGGTGTCACAGTTGGCAGAAGGGTGAAAAGAGAGCTTGGTGTCTGTTTTCTTTTTTAAGCTGATCTAAAAACCACTAACAATCTTTTGTGCCCATGCATCTCTTAAATGAATTATGTATATAATAATAAAAATGTATAAAAATAATACATTATTTATGTAAGATCCAGTTTACAGAAATGTTTCCATAGTGTTTCCAACACAAATTTCTGCCCATTTCTGCAGGTTAAATAACCTTGTAGATGAAAGGTGTTACAGAACTTGGTGGAAAAGGAAATTTACACTTATTTTGTGTGAGGTTTTGTGTGTTGGTTTTTTTTTGTTGGGTTTGGTTTTTTGGGTTTTTTTTGGTTGTGGTTGGGTTTGGGAGACAGAAACAACAGATGGGAGTTTCAGCATACTAATATTGCTGAATTCCATACTTTTTCTTCTGAGAATTACGTGATTTTGTCGAAGTGCAGATCTTTAATTTTTATACGCTAGATGACTGTTTTTCAGTGAGAGCAATTTTTTACCATCTCTATCAGATATTCTTACCAATTTCTTTATCCTTGCCATCCTCCTTTAACATCCTGACCCACATTAGTTAATAATTACGTAGTTTTAAAATTGCTGGGATGGAGTCACTCCACCTAGTTGCACCTACCAAAGCAGTCACAACACATCAAATGCGTGAGTTGTCCATACAGTCACTGTAGAGAGGTGGTTTCTTTTGGTGGAGCCCAGAGCCTGTCTGCATGGAGTTAACCACCAGCCTTTGATGGAATCTTCAAGGGAAGGGTGTTCTTGCCCCATGCATCTGCTTAAAGCCCACAGGACTCCTTCATTGCTGCCAGCTGTGTGTGTAAGCAAGGAGCAGTTTATTCATACCCCTCTTGTTATTTTTTTCTCTTCATGTTGAGTGATAATTGGCTGTAATTTTTTTCTGTCGCTGCCCCAGAATAACTGCAACTGTTATGTGTCTGATAACTCACTCCTTTCTAGTTCTGAAGAAGTGCTGTCATGCTGTGGAATGACTTGTGCAGGGCTGGTTGCAAGAAGCAAACTGGCAGTGCATCTGAATTCTTAATATTTGTTATTGGCTAATTTCAGTTTCTAGCATCCTGTGTGTAAAGAAGATAAGCTGTTGCTCATCACCTCCGTCTGATAGGTTATGTACTTGCTTATTCGGTGGGAGGAGGAGTAATTGTAGTGGCAAAACTGAAAGGCATCAGACCAGATACTTGTCAGGAAATTCAGTCTTTTATTATAATAATTTAGTTTTAGTAGATAATTACATTTACATTTCTTTTACTATGTTTATATTTCTTTCATCATGTATTTATGGTAATCAGTTAGATTAAGATTATGAATGCAGTTGTCTCCAACTAAAATAATTCCTCTTTCAGAAGATGTTGTGATGTTTCATTTGCAGATCACTGTGTCCATTTCATCTGTTGTCAGAAAATTAAATACTTTCTCAGAGCTGGCCAGAACATAATTTAATAAATGGATGTATCATTTATTATAGTGATAGCAGGAAACTGTGGCCTTTTCTGTATGTTTCTGGATAGTGTCAGATTTCAAAATAATTAGAAGTAAGAAGGCAGTGATGCATGAGCACACAATTTGCCTTCTTGCAGAGCATTTGTTTTTTTCCAGAGGTTTAAGGAAACTAGTATTTTTTCTTCTTTGTAGAGGAATTCAAGGCCTCAGGAATCTACTTGAGAATCCTTTGCTGGATTTTTGAGTCTACTGTTTCAGGAAGTCTAACATGCTCAACAGGAATGCAGCAAGCAAGCTTATCCACTGAATATATACTCTACTTATGGTGATTTGTATGTATTGTAACAGTTAAAGAGACAAATCAGACTGTTAGAGAAGACTTTTTGCCTGTCCTCTTTAAAAAGTAATAGTTATTGCTAAATACTTAGTGGGTTGGGATTTTGGGGTTTTGTTTGGGTTTGTTTTGTTTTTAAGAAAACTTTGCTGCAGAAAAAAGCTGGTGACGTAAGTATGTGGTAGAAAGAAATCTTAGGGCTGTGTTAGATGCCTTTCCCTGAAAACATCAGCTTAATGTTTATTAGTGGTCAAAAAAGCAAATTAAATCACAGAATCACAGAATGTTCGGGGTTGGAAGGGACCTCTGTGGGTCATCTAGTCCAACCCTCCTGCCGAAGCAGGGTCACCTACAGTAGGCTGCACAGGATCTTGTCCAGGCGGGTCCTGAGTATCTCCAGAGAAGGAGACTCCACAACCTCCCTGGGCAGCCTGTTCCAGTGCTCCGTCACCCGCAGAGGGAAGAAGTTCTTCCTCATGTTCAGACGGAACTTCCTGTGCTTCAGTTTGTGCGCATTGCCCCTTGTCCTGTCACTGGGCACGACTGAAAAGAGCTTGGCCCCATCCTCCTGACACCCACCCTTGAGATATTTGTAACCATTTATAAGGTCCCCTTGCAGCCTTCTCATCTTCAGGCTAAACAAGCCCAGCTCCCTCAGCCTGTCCTCGTAGGGGAGATGTTCAAGTCCCCTCACCATCCTCATAATTAGGAAAGGACTGGAGGTATCGTTATGCCACTGTATAAATCCATAGCTTCCATCTTTTGAGTAACTGTGCAATTCATACTTGCCATCCTGTAGGTCAGAAAACAAGGTTCAGAGCAGGGCGATGAAATTCGTTAGAGATGTGAAACAGTTTACGTGGAGGACATGAATAAACAAGGATGCTTCAGTCTGGAAAAGGGAAAATGAAGGGCAAATATGACGAACATTTAAAATATTATGTGTCACATGGAAGAGGCTAAACAGTAAGAGACAATGAATGATCAGTTCCAGTGCAAAAGTTCAGGAGAATCGGGTTGGCAAGAAGCAGGCTGGAGACAGACATTGCTCCTCATGCAGTGGTGAGTTAGCTCTGGGGCTGTTGTGTGTTGTGGCATGCTGTGTGTGCCGAGCGGTTGCAGAGGCTCAGGAGGAATTTGTTACAAGTTCACAGAAACAAATCCACTGGGGTTTACATGCTGTGTGGAAACCACGTCTGGCTTGGGAAGCGGTGGAGCCACCAGCGGTCGGAGAACTCAGGAAACATTCGTGCTCGGTCTGTCCTTACAGTCTTTCGTAGGCATCCAGTTGGCCTGCTGGGACGCAAGACATTCTTCTAGGTGAACCTTTGGTGCAGCCTAGTACAGCCACTCTTACATTCTTGTATTATGGCTTTTTTTAATGTAAATTTTCAACGTATTTTTTCCATACATTCTTAGGAATGCTAAGTATTCATCAGTCACCAGTTCCTGAAGATCTGTTTGCTCTTTTTAAAATTGTTTAAAACATTTTCATGTGCGTAAGATTAACAGTTTTCCGTCTTTGCAACTTCAGTTTGGGATTTGTGTAGCCATTTAGTAAGTGCTAACTATATTTGAAATCTGTTAAGTGTCACCTGGGAAGTGAAGCATTTTTTATTTATACCTTTCCTCACTCTGAAGATGTACTGAAAGCTTGCTTAATGATACTGCATTTGATAAGAGAGGTGGCTTGAAATCACTTAATGGTCTGCCATTTAACCTCCTGTATAATGAATAGAATTGGCTAAAAACCTAAACCTTGGAAAGGTACTTCCTAACAGTCAGCTGTAAATCATTAGGCATACCATGTAAAAAAAATCTAGCTCAGCTGTATGTATTAGGTTATAGCCAGAAATGGGGTGGTGGAGGGGAGGGGTTCTGTTTCATTGAAGTCTTTGTTACAGGCATATTATATATGCACTTTTAGTGTTTTTAATAACTGCCATATCTGTGCAATACTTTGATAACTGTGCAGTATCAAGTGCATGAAAGTTGAAGACCTAAAGAGACAGTTTTGTGCTAATTGGTGGCTAGAAGTATCCCATTTGATTAAAATTGCCAGAAAAATTTCAGATCTCCTTTTGTGGAAGGGCCTTTAAAGTGAGGTCAGGTAACTCACTCTTGCACAGACAGTAGTTTTGTGATTCATGCAGAACTGTTGAGGCTTGAAGTCCTGTTAGCCAAGGACCTCTCTTTAAGGGGAGCTCAGCCCTTGCAAATAGGCAAGGGTTGAAAATCTCTGTTCCTGGTGCTGCGATGTGCGCTTGGAAAGAACTGTGGCTCCTGAAAGCGAGCTTTAAATGTGAAGAGCAGAATCATCAGGACTGTCTGAAACTGGAGGATGAGCTCAGGGAGCACGAGAAGTATGAAAGTAAATTGTTAAATCTGGTTGCTTTCAAAAATGGAGTAACATCTCTTCAGTGGGGCATGTTTCAGCTGCCTGTGAGAAGAACAGCTGCTTTAGCTGG